TCTCTCTCTCTCTCTCTCTCTCTCTCTTCCTTCATCCCTCGCTCTCCGCGCCGGATATGACAAAAATATGATAAAAATTAAACAACTATCTGATAATACACGACACGGTCAACGGCTCTCGTTAAACAACCTAATTATAACCGCGGAGCGAGCGAGGCGCGCGTATACATGCAAATACATAGTGCATTTATATGCGCGTTCATATGCGCGTTGTTAGATAAATTCATCATCGATCGCCGTTCGATTATTTAGCAGGAGCGATTCGAAACGCGACGAGCGAACGGCGCGCACAACGACGCGCGGCTGGAAATGTCAATGGCAAACAATATGATTGATTGCCGTGTATAACGCGCGCGCGTATGCCATTTCGTGTCCGTCGCGAATACAGAACGCTCTCTCTCTTCCTCTCACACAATTTTTCTTTCTTTTTCTCTCTTTCCCAGTCGATTTTGCAGGTGGGTTCATTTTATTCGCTCATCGCGGACTTTCACATCTCAGAAGTTCATTTTGCTCATCATCATCTCTGTTTCTCTTCTCGGAAGTTCACGACGGACGTTCTTTTGTATTTCTTTCTCTTTCATGCTCTCTCTTTCTCTCGCTCTATCTCTCTCGCTCTATCTATCTATTTCGCTTTCCTTCACATCGTATAGGACGTATATCGAATTGAGACCTTTCTGTTTCAGCGACGGTCGATTGGTAGAAGGCGACCAGATATTGGCGATCGATGGGCAGCCCTTAGACTCGAACGTCTCCCATGAACAAGCGATCTCGATTCTTCAGAAGGCCCGTGGTCTGGTTGAGCTAGTCGTAGCGAGAAGCACCCAAGGTAATTACGATCTCCGTCCCGAGCGAAATCCGCTTACATTATGGTAGTGGGAGCGTCGTGCCTTCTGGCGTTTCGCTTGTAACTCGCAACGAGCGACTATACGTGTAAAGTAAACGTTGCGACGACTGAACCAATAAAAAGGTACAATCAGTTTCACTCTTTTATTAGTAAATAATTAACTTTTTAGTAAATCTTTTCTTGGTAAATAATTAACTTTTTAATAACTCTTTCTTAGTAAACAATTAATGGAAACTAATTCTTTTTTTTCTATAAAACTTTGGTTTCTCAGCGGGATTGTGAAATAATATAACAAAATTGAATATATAATCAGTAAATATTAATTATAATTTTGATGAGACATTAGATAATGTCGATTGTCAAAAATTGAACTGGAAAACGGATCATGTTTTAATTAGCGAATAATACGGACTCGATAATTGGAAGATCATTGAACAATATTATAACTTGGTGTAAAGAAATATCTTTTAGCAAAATTCCAAGGATATTTTAGAAATATTGAATACTGCTGATGTTTAAATCATTGGAACAAGATTCAGTCATCGGGACCTTAATTGTCGCGATTCCGGGTTGCGACGGACATCACACTCGCGCGGAATACGTAAGCTCATCACAGAATATCCGAGCACTATTGTGTCTGTCGTATCTCGCTGTCGCGGCACGCGCTTCTGCTATGTTGTGTTCCTGCTAGTTTTTCGCAAGCGCAGAGAAATAGCGGAAAAATATTATTCGCCACCGATGGCGACGACGTCAAAATCGCCGGTGTCGTCATAAATTTGAATTCCCGCTCGATTCCCCACGCCGCGAAGAGTTAAATTAGTTTCGCTAAGCTTTTTTCTGCGGCCCGTCGTTGCATATGGAACAGCAAACTCCGCGGTGGATTGCTCGTGCGTGTACACGTCGCGAGTGACACAGTTGATTCGAGAGAATATCGCTTTACCAATGTTAACTTTATTTCCCTCTCTCTCTCTCTCTCTTTTTTTAATTGCTTTACTCTAACAGAATTTTTTATAAATGTATTATAGCAGATATTGCAAAATTAATCCGCGCGAGTCCTCTCCCTTTCTCGTTTGACAAAATTCTTTTCTTGGAAAAGAAAAATAATGGGTTGCAATGGAATTACGGTATGAGGGTGCAAGAGTTTTCGAGCGTCACCGTATTTACGTCAATATTCAAGCACGACGCACACACCGGGGAAGTTACAGGAGAGTCGCGTACGAGTACTCTCTAAATTTCTTGGAGTTTGAGCAAGAAAATGTTCTTTCAAACAAGTGAAAATTTACTCGAAGCGATAGTAAAAATCCTCTCGCAAGGGAGAATCTCAAAGTCAAACTCTGTCGAGTGGATTCTTAATTCATGTGAGTGAATGTTTCAGTTGATTAGAGTGAATTAGTTTCAATCACAGCGGAATACATCTGTTCAGTCTTGAATGAAAATTCCAAGTGGAGAATCCACTTTGTGCGAACTCAAATTCGAGTGGCTCGACTGTCGTTCTGCCTTTGGAGTAGAAAATTCCGTACGAAGAAATTTAGAGAGTAATCTTGGAATTCGACGGAAACTAGAGCGTGGGGAACGACGCGCTTTTCTCTTCTCATCGTGAACGAATGTCTTCGAGAATAATAGAGACATTAAGTTGATTAAAAAATCTTTTTCCATAAGTATACTGAACAACTAGCAAATAAGAACAACAAGCAGTTTTTAATTAAGAATATGTCGACACGAAATGTACATCCAAAAAATAAAATCTTACTGTTAGCGGAGTTTTCTTATATATGGTGTTAAATCTTAAATAGGATTTTCCTAAAACTAAAGGGAAAATATTGTAAACATAATATTAATCCTCTTAGTTAGAAAAGGAGTACTCCTTTAGTAAAAGTTTCCGCTTAGAATATGGGATTATACGAAATAGCACTTAGCAACTGGAATACTTTTCTGGATGGCTTCAAAAGGATTGTTCTAAAATGATTTGCAACTAGAACTTATTTTCTCTTTTGAGTGTTGTAGGATATTTCCCTTTTGCTTTAAAAGAATTGTCTTGAGACCGTGTATACGAGGATTCCGCTAAGAATAAGATCATACTTTTTGGATGTGGGAAGAGATTTCGGAGTCAGTCTGATACCTCGTATTTCCGAGGTGCACTCGATGAACGGCACATTCCGCGGTGTCGTACGGTAGCCCGAATGTCCTGAAAAAGCTTGTACAATGGGCGGGACGCGGTGCGTTTGCTTGACAGACGTTGGGAGCTCTTTGCCAACGGATGAATTGTCCGGTGGTTCGAGTTCGACAGCGGCTGCAGGAGCAGCGTCGTCCATCGTCGGCGGCGGTGCCGCTGCAGGGAACAACCAGACAAACTCCGACAAGGATCAATCGGTGTCAGCGTCATCCGTCGTTACACCAGCACCGACCCCGAAGTCAAGTCAACCGGCCAGCACCACTTCGGCGGCCACCCCGACACCTACACATACGCCAACACCTACGCCGACCTCGACGCCGATACCTGGTGGCCTCGTTATCGAAAGGAGCCCCTCCGCCGTTAGCGACGCCTCCAAGAGTGGTTCTGACATGGTGGTAAGTCCCGTAGTTTTTCTTCCCTTCTCGTTTAACCCTCAACCCCGTGTTCCTTGGAACGTCCTTCCATTTTTCTCGAACGAACGCTCTCATAAGATCACGTCGTTTACAGTAACGCCGTGATCGGCGATTTTCCTTCAGATTTCTCTACTTTGCATTCGTGTATACAAGATGTCTGGTACTTAGGCGTGTGTAATACTCGTTGAACTGAATAGAAAAGTTATTTAAATCACTTTGCAAACTACCACGGTTAATTATTGAGATATTAACGGCAGAAAATCGGTCAGTCTGTGCGCGCAATGCGATGAAACGAGATCTGTAAACAGTCCGAGAAGAACAGTCTCATAGAATAGATTGCGCACTCTTACGAGATGATTGATGACAAGATTGAAGGATAGAGATATGCTAAGTCAAATACTGTCACGTAGTACTTTAGGGGGGTATGCGATAGCAGAAATAAAAGAGAAAAAGATATTTAATTAAAAATATTTAATATAAAATATTAATATAAAATGTTTATACAATATTAATATGAAATATTAATATAAAATATTTATACAATATTAATATGAAAAATATTATAAAATATTTTTCAAATAAAATTTACATCCTCTTGTCAATCGTTTATTCTACTTAAATAATAAAAAATTCCAAATTTAAGTAAATATGTTATTAATACGTACCGCGAAAAAAAAATTTTTCAGATATCTTTTCTCTTAACACGGAGAAAAATAATTTGCTGGCCCAGCAAATTTTCTGTTGGTCTAGCAAAATCTTTTCGTTGTTATATGGACAGCAAAAAGATTTGCTAAGAGTCACTATTTGCTGGATATAATTTGCTAAATCTACAAATTATTTTGTTATAAGAACCATGATGGATTTATATAAGCAGTTGCAATTTTGCTCCGATAGCAAATAAATTTGCTAAGGATGCATTATTTTGCATCAATAGAAAATTAATGTGATTCTTAGACAAATACATTCAACAAATTTTTTCTATCCTGCCAACAAAACTACTTCTGCTCTGATAACAAATAATTTGTAAAATTAATTATGTCAACTAAATTTTTTTTATGTCACTACGAATATGCAGTAGCAACGACGATTTTGCTAAAAGAGCAAAATTATTTTTCTCCGTGAATGCATTACTGAATATTGTTAATTTTTTTTGTTAGAGTAACAAGAAGATATGGTTGGCGTCGAAAGTAATTTTATAATTTTTGATAAGAGATCAACCATATTTTTTTTCTCAGTAGTGCCGTATGATATTCCTTCACGGAAAAAAAAGATTTGCTAATATATAGACAACTAAAAATATTAACTGCAGGAGCAATTTTTTTGCTTTTAAAGCAAAGTTATTTAGTTGTGATAGCTAAAAGATTTGCTAATATTATATATAATATATAATATATTATATAATATTAATATTATATATTAATATTATATATAATTTATAATATATTATATAACATTAATATTATATACATATAATATTAGCAAATCTTTTAGCTATCACAACTAAATAACTTTGCTATGAAAGCAAGAAAATTTGCTCCTGCAGTTAATATTTTTAATTATCCATATATTAGCAAATCTTTCTTTTTCCGTGTTTTCCCATTATATACCCAATTAAGGAATTTCTTTTGGAATGCTCAGAGTTACGCGTGTGAGAGTTAACGAAGCTATGGGATCTCGTTCGACGACGTTCCCCCCGACGGCGTGTACCCTCGTCGACGCCGTGAATGTTCGTAGCACGGGAGATAACTAGACATTATTCTGCCGTGAAGGTCGTCCTTTATCGCCGCGACGAAACGATCGTGCTCGTCGCTCTGTTCTTCCCCCGTCGGCGGCACGATTCTTCGGATATTTTCTCTTAGCGCAAAACGGTCGCTCTGAATCCTTCCCCGCGTGAAGGTCCTATCCCATCGTCTCTTAATAAGCGTGCTCCCCTCTCGACTACGGCCTTTCTCATTTTATCCCGTGATTCGCAGTCGACAGGGAGCCCGGTGATCGAGCTTTTTCGAGCTAATCCTCGCGCACGCGGATGCTTCTCGTCTTTCTTCTCCTCCTTTTTCTCTTTCTGTACTCAGTATTGGACTAAGGGTGCACCTGCTGGGTCGAAAGAAATATTTGCGGTAAAGCCGCTCACTCGAGTGTCGACGAAATCCGCCGATAAAATCCCAATCGATGTACCGAGACGTAATTGGCCTCATTTGGGCGTCGCTCTCCTTCTCTCATTTTCTTTTCTTCTTTTTTTTACCACCCTTCCTTCCTGCGCCTTCTGTCGTGATAATAGGAACAGTGGCGCGGCTGCGACGGGAATAGAATTATTGGTGGAGCCTTGAGCGGCCACCTCGAGGCAATACACTCCGGCCAATAGTATTTATCTTATATCTGCTATCGTCGATATTGCGCGACGATATCGCGCGCCACGAATGGCATCGAGTGGCTCTTCTACGAAATTATTACTCATTGGACGTTGAACGTACAGTTTATTCCCGGCTGTCCTCCCATTGGCTCTAGGTTGCGTGATGGCTCATGGACATTTGTTTTCTGTATCTCGCGAGCATTTATGAATATTTTTAACTTTCTACAATTTCCTTCGCGAACTCGTACGTTGTTGTTGCTGTTGTTGTTACTATTGACTGCCTCCGCTGTCACACATTTCAGCTGGCGGAGAGCAACGCGCACGACACGAAATATTATTACTTCGCGCAATCAAATCGATATGTACCAGCCCATCACAGTCGAGCGCGCCCCTCGTGTGTCTTTTGCAGAATAAATTCTAAACAATTAATCGGGGGCCTCGCTCGAGGCTATTAATTTTCCAGTGAGGGAGAATTTTCGATCAACCACCACCGACGCCAGCGTCCGGGCCAGCGATTCCTCTTGACTCCCTTCGACATTCGATATATATCTATAGATCGAAAGGTTTTTTTTTTCTTCTTTTTCAATAGCAGACAAACCGAGCGCCCATTCGCGCTACCTTCGCCTCCCCCTGCACCCTCGTCGCCTTCCCGCCGGCAGTCTTCCAGCGTGATAATAGGAACAGCGGCGGCGGTTTGCGCGACGGAAATAGAATTATCGGTAAAGAGTTTCGCGCGCTTGACGCCCTCCGAGAGCGACGTCGGTTCTGCAGGCAAGGTTTGCGTGATCTTTAAAATTTATTGCCCATTACCGGCTGCGAGCGGGGTAGAAACTGTGGAATCATTCATCCCGTCGGGAATACCACTTCGATGAGGCTTTTAATAGTGACAGATTGACAATTTCGCGCGCAAATTAGATCCATGATTTGCGTCTGTGTATATATATATGTGTGTGTGTGTGTGTGTGTGTGTGCACGCGCGCACTGACTGAGATAGTTGCACGAGCAATGGAAATTTTGAGATTGACGGGGTAAAATGTACGCGGTACTGCTTTTGGAGAGTTTTTTTATTCGAAGCCTCTTAAGTCTAATCTACATTATACTCTTTGCTTCCTGTTTCTTATTCTTTATCCTTTTCTAACTAAAGACTCAAGGTTTAAATCAGAAATAAATAAAGAGAAAGAAACAGGAAGCGAAGAGCATATTGCAAATCAAGCTTTACTTAGGGCGTTGTTACTTCTACGAGAGACGATTGGGAGAACTGATCTGGATGATGCTCACCACGTTACATCGAAATATCGATGTAATGTATATAAATGTATAAAATAGAATGTCTGTCTGTATGTTCCCTATAAACTCTTAAACCCTTTGATCGATCTATACCATAAAACGTGGACACCTCGCTCTCTCTGATTTTATTCTCTTAATACTTTGTGATAACTCGGGCAATGCCGAATAGTTTAAGCTAGTAATACCTAATTCTTAACAAATAACTAAATTCCTTAATATCTAAAAAATTTACAGTTAGTTCTTAGTTCTACTAACAATTTAGATATACTGGGTATTTGTTTAGGATGCGCATGAATTAGAGATTGGATATTAAACTATTGTAAAGTAAGTAAAATTTAGGAATTTGAAATATGTTTGTAGGTAATTAAAAAAAAAGTTTTGGAAGAAGAGTCTAGCAGAATATGGATTGCAGTATATAATAGCGCATAGCTTTTCTCTCTCTCTCTTACTCTATTCTACTTTCTTTTTTCTTCTCTCTCTCTCTCTCTCCCCTTCTCCCATAAATTTCGACACTTGTTCCGCGATCAATTTCATTCGATGGAGCGGTTTAACACTTTCGCCGTTGCACGAAGTTTGCACAACATCGCGCGTTATACTATCGATAATGATCACTGGAAGTGAGAGTGCTCATAAACAAGGCGAGTTCAGCGTTCGGGATTTACTGCAAATTGAGCTTTCCGGATATCAGAGATCACGCGAACGTTGATTCAAACGCTCGTCCGATCCACCTCGCGCAAGAGAGAAAATGCGTAAATGAGCAAAGGCGTGTTTGACGACGACTGTTTCTCTCGATACATTTATCGGCTTACGAAGAATATTAGAGAGCCAATATTTACGTTAATCGCAGTCGCGAGAAACGCGTATACTAACGACGACTCTAAGTTAAACAAACTCCGGGTATATTTGAGTACACCTGACGACGCGTTTATTTCTTTGACGGCGCAAAACACAAACGTCACGCTTGATTGATCGAAGGTCAGTGACTGTTCTTCCCTCCCCTCTCTCTTTCTTTCTCTCTCGCTCTGTCCTGATATCGAGGACGAGAATAGAGTTATGGACGGCAACTTCCGGCGCTGTCAGTGCAGCTCGACGGAAAGGCGGTCGAATGAAATTTTATTGCAACTATCAATGCATTATTCAGCGTGCCGTTACGATACACTAATGGAGAGTTGTTAGTACCTCCGATTCCCAGTAGTGCAGGCATCGAACCGATCGTCCCGCGACGTCCGCCGCGACGTTCCGTCAGTTGCGCTTTCGTTATCGTGTCGCAACATGCCTTCCTCCACGAACGTTTCTCCCGAAAGCCCGCAAATTAAATTAGAAACACGAAACAACGTTTCCGTGGCGGGGCGGGTAGCTCGCAACTTTTCGGTCTCGCTCGAGCAGCCGCCCTGTTTCCTCGCGGGAATGTATATTACAACAAAATGGAGATTAAGCGAGTTCTGATACACTTAAAAATTAAATGAAGAGCAGAAGCTTACGGTTAGTTCGAGATGCGTGTTCTCGAGACGCTCGATATCGCTGAAAGTTAATATTAAAGCAGGATAAGAGAAAGGCAACGGCCACTTCAGGGCCATCTTGGAATACCCAGAATGATGGTGAGTTCCAGGAATACACTGAGAAAAAATACTTGAAAAATTATTTGTGAGATACAGAGTTCATTTCTGCAAAAGAAAATTTCTTTCTTTCTTTGTGAATAAACTTTATATCCCATAAACAAGTTTTCAAGTATTTTTTTCTTAGTATTATGTTTTAGCGCAACGCGGAATGTTTTTAAATAATAACATTATTTGTAAATAATTTGATATTACTTCGATATGTTCCAATTGATTGTCATTTAAAATATAACAGGCCTGAGACTTTGATGTCAGTGAAAGTGTCACAGGTTATTAATATTTTTCGCTTCTTGAGATCGGATAAACCTGGCCGAAGAAATTGTGCAAATCACCCGAATCGAGGCGTCAACGTCTCAGGCCTGTTACACTTTAAAGGACAGATGACAATTAACTCGAACCAATCGAAATTGCATTCGTAAGTATTTTTCCGCGTTGCTCTAAGAAGTGTATGTATTCCTGAAATTCATCTCCATTCCGCGCCTATTAAATAGTGGCCTAACTCCTTGATGCAGCCGGCGTTAACAACACGATGGCGATTGATCGTCGGCTTCCTCTTTCTGCACGGACGTTCCGCACGACGGGAGAGTCGAGAGGGAGGGAAGGAGACGGGCGAGAGGACGGGAATTCCGATGAAACTTCACTACTTATCCCGAAACTAATTCCGCGCCGTAAGGAACGATTATCGGATATACCTCCAAACTCCCCCTGAAGCGTCCTCTTAGCAGCAGCCTTTAACGCCGACGACGACATGACGCGAATCCCGATGCGCGACGCGACGTGATCTCCGCCAAAATGAATTTCTTGCTCCGCGATCTACCGGTAAACGCGCGTGTCCGGCCGCGTGTTTAATCTTCCGTTAGAGTGTGAGCGCATACACGCCGCGAGCTCGCATTTGCCCGACACCCGCAGTGTAAATCACTCTCAGCTTTGTCTCTCTCTCTCTTTGTCTTCCTCCTTCTCTCCTTCCTTCTTGCTCCTCGACGTGGTTTTCGTCCCTACAGCGCGGAGCGACACATCGTGGGATTTTCGATGTGCACGTCGTTTCGCAAACGCTAACGCGAATGTATATGTGTGTGTATGTGTGTATGTGTAAAAGAGAGAGAGAGCGTGCTAAGCAATTACCGGGTCATGAAAATTTATTGAGGCTCGCGTTTTAACGAGCCAATAACCGCGGCGTTCGTATTTAATCCGGGAAACGTCTGAGCGCGATGCGGCCGCCAGGGTAAAAACGCTTTAATTAAATCCGACCGATTGTTTGATGTGTTGCCTGGTAAATTGGAAGTGCGGCGAGACGCACCCGAGGCTGCTTGCTTGCCTGACTGCTCCAGCGAATTTCAAACTTTGCCCGATAACGAACAGAACGCAGGGCGGTGTGGTCTTCGCTCGTGCGGCTCCTCGTCTCTCTTCGCATATTTTAGAGCGACGGGAAATGAAGGAATTATCCGACAATAGAATAGTGTTATAATATCGCGTTGGAGAAGAGCTGTTTTATGACGAGCGGAAGCGCCGAGCCCCGCGCGACTCGGATCGTTTCCCGACGCGATATCCTCGTGCAAATATCCAGACGTGCGTCGCGACATTTGGCGGGCGAGAGACGAGAGCAAGCAGCCTGGCGTCGATCGATCATTCCCCGACTAGGAGATCCACCGCGAGAGGCGGATGCGTTAGCTATTGTGCTCTCCTCCGAGGAGAGATATCGGCAATCGGAACGTTAATATTAAATAGGTCGTTAATTGTGGCCGCAGACGATAACGAAGTAAACCCTGGAGAACCAATCAAATTTAATGACCTGATGTATATATATGTATATGGCAGGCTGAGATTACTGCGTCGGCTCGCCGCTGCTTATTGCTTCTATTATTGATCTCAGACAAATTGTTATTATTATACGGCGAACACCGTGACGTGCGATTGCGAGATCCACCGTCGAGATCGATTGGATCGCGAGTCGTTAAATCACCCACTTTGGTTTGATATCCACGCGTTCGTTAACGCATCCGTTAATCGTCACGGTCGCGCAATTAGTGTGTTCCCGTTGCGTAACTCGGATGTTACTGTGATATTTTCAGCACTCGGCTACCCTTAAAACACTCGTGGTTATTAGTAAGTAGCTTATTAGCCATTCATTATTTGTTATTGTTATTACAATGAATTTTAATTAAAATATAATAATGATTTAATGCAATAAATGTTTAAACTAATAAAATGTGAGGATAATTTTAATTACAGTTTGGGTTTTAATTAAAATTTATTTCAGTAACGATGACGAATAATGAACGAGCATTCTAGACTCGCCAACTGCTCGCTAACTTATTACCTGAATGACACCCGCGAGATTGTGCGCTGAAAATATATCGAGAGAAAAAATACCTAAAAAGTAAGAAATATTTATTCGATGGGCACTAATAACATATTTATTGATACATATACTTACTGAAATTCATATTATCTTATTTAACTAGAAAGCAATTCATTTAAGCATTTCGTGCAAGTATTACTTAGCTCAGAAGCTAAGGTTTTAAGAAAATGTATATTTTCTTATTTGAACATTTATTTTATATTATTTTAGTCCAAGTAGATATGTGTGTGCCGCCACAGAAAAATGTTTTTATTTCTCTCATTGCACTAAGGAAAAAGATAGCGCGAACATTTGTGAAATGAAAGTTTGTTTCACAGGAATAAACTTTATTTGAGAGAAACAAGCTTTATATCCCACAGATAAATTTTCAAATTTTTTTTCTCAGTGTGTGTATAGTAATATCCAGGTTATGTAACGGTAGCGTTAATTGCGTTCAGCACCAATTCGTTCATTATCTATAATCATTGTTAAAATAATGAACGAGCGTATTAGAATGATTATATCTATTTAACATAACGAGGCGGCATCTCCGAACGGATACTCCAGATAAGAGTCGTAGTGTAAACGTAATTCTTCTGACGTATAGTAGCGAGCTCAAGCAGTAAGAAAATTAATTAGTCACTCTTCCGAGGATATTATAGAACTTTGTTATCAGAAAATGGATCGACATTCTGCGGTAATCAATTCTTTTGTTTCATATTTGCTACTCATATGTTTTAGGAACTGAAATGCTGAAGTGCTGTTGAAACCTTTGTAATGTTTTTAGCGAAATTTACTGTGCTGCTCAACAAGATAAACACTTACAGTCTACCACAAACCTAGTAAAATCGAGAAGAATTGATATGAAATAAAACCACAATACTCTCTCGGTGTACATTGCCGTTAATTCTCGAACGTGACTGAAGCCGCCGCTGAGCGCAATTATTTTCCTACATGTTACATTCAACCGCAAAGGACGAGTTGCCAGCGACACGCTCGGAGGAGGTGCACGCGTTTCGTCATGTTTTCAAGCGCAGGCGGGAGAGAAGGGGGAAATGTCGCGCATTAATCTAGCTCTTAAGCACGACGTCGACACGACAAACCGAATTTCTCGTCGTTACCGAAAATCCCGAGTAATCCTGTTCGTTTCGTTAACTTCGTTAAAATATGCCACGGCGCCGTTCTCGCCATCGTTACCCTCATTTCCCGCCGTCATACTTTATCCTCATTAGCCCTTTCTTTCCGCGGCGGTGAGTTATGAATGGTTTCGTTAGTGTCATCATAACTGAGGATGCGTGCGAGCCGCGAAAAGGAGCGATGTATCTGCGATTATTCGAGAGAAAAAGAGCCGCCTCTCTGTGCTCTCTTTCTTTCTCTCTACGGTGGAAGATTCGCGGAAATTTATTCAGCGCGCGCCACGTGTGCTCGCAGCGAGCAGTCTCTCAATAGAGCTAATCTCGCCGCTAATTAAATCTGAAAAAAGCCGCGACTCGCAAGACCGAGCAAGAAGCTCCCCCAGCGGGCGATTAAGCCGCTAACGATCGCGCCGAAATTAAAATTAAAAGGGAGCGGCTCTCTCGTGCCTTTGTGCTCTCATCTTGATCGATAGGGCTGGTTCGCCGATTCGTAATAAAATTTTCATGAAAATGGCAGCCGCGACAGTTCGGGCTGCCATTGTGCCACAGCTGGTCGCTCCACAAGGCTGATGAAGTGCTCGATGATATCGGTGGGGCGTCCTTTTTCCTTTCTTTAATAAAAGACGCGATCTCTTTTCTTGTGCAGTTGAATACGGAATGGGCTCAAGTTGAAGTGATAAACCTAATCAACGATGGCAGCGGTCTTGGATTCGGCATCATTGGCGGACGTAGCACCGGCGTCGTCGTCAAGACGATTCTTCCAGGCGGTGTTGCCGATCGCGTGAGTAAATCTTGTAGTACTGATGAATATCTGATCTGTGAGTACTGATGAATATGTCAGGTCAATCGAAAAGTTTGCCTCGGCTTTCAGTAAGTGGCATTATACATGTGTAATGCAAACATCAGTGCTGATAACGTTCTTTTGTTGGAACATAAGTGCGCGGAATAAAAACATTTAGTTTTTAACCAAATGTTAGTTACCAGGACTTATTTGAAAGACTCTCTTTATAAACTCTTCCCGAGTCGAAATTTTGATGTTACTTTGACGCTCTTAAGGATACTTTGCGCCTATTTAGTTTATAGCCTAGGTAAAACGATACTTATTACGATTACTTTGACGATATTGATACTAATTAACTTCTCTTTTGAATTTTTAACTCTACCTTGTCAAAATTTTGACGCTACTTTGAAGATCTTAAAAATAGTTTCAGTCTACTTAGATAATCTATAACCTAGGTGAAAACTATTTTGACGATATTGACACCCGAGTCGAAATTTTGACCCTATGTTGAACCTTGAATTCAACAATGCAGTAGGAGCTAAGATAGCAAAGTAGGTTTAATTCTAATGATATAATTTACTCCTACTTTGACCCTGATGATGTTTGAAATTTCCGCTTTCGTTTTCTTTACGTCAAAGTAGGTTGTATCTTAGGTAGGATCTTAGGAAGTAAAGTAGGTTTAGTTGCAAACCTCTATTGAAGCTTTAGCTCCTACATAGAATATATGTATTTTATAGAATTCAAGATTCAACATAGGGTCAAGATTTCGACTCGGAAATGAATGTCAATATCATGAAAATAAGTTTCATCTAGGTTGCAGATTATCTAAGTATTTTTAAGCTCAAACTAGTAGGCTCAAACTATTTTTAAGAGCGTCAAAGTAGCGTCAAAATTTTAACAAGGTAGAGTTAAAGATTCAAAAGAGAAGTTAATGAGTATCAATATGGTCAAAGTAGATTTTATCTAGGCTATAAACCGTCTAAGTAGACGCAAACTGTTCTTAACAGCGTCAAAGTAGCATCAAAATTTTGACTCGGGATTCATTTCCGAGTCGAAATTTTAATCCTATGTTGAACCTAGAATTCTATAAAATACATATATTTTATGCTGGAGATAAAGCTTTAATAGAGGTTCGCAACTGAACCTACTTTACTTTCTAAGATCCTATTATTATACAACTTACTTTGACGCTAAAGAAAGCGGAAATTTCAGACATCATCAGAGTCAAAATAGGAGTAAATTATATCATTAGAATTAATTATATCATTAGAATTAAAATTAACCTATTTTGTTATCTTAGCTGTGGTGTATAATTCAAAGTTCAACATAGGGTCAAAATTTTGACTTGGGTTTGATATGTGTTTTTTACATAATTATGTAAAACAGATTTAGGAATTATTTGGAAAAAAATGTTTGCTGTTACGTACATATGACGCTGGTAGCAAACGTGTTAACGTAGCATTGGTATTAAAAGTCGGAGCTTTTTGCATCCACATTGATTTTATATACCCGGAAAAGACAGTACGGCTGACCTGCACATAAATTTGGTTGCGCCAACCAGATCCAATATTGAGTTCGTTTGGCGTAATCAGATTTATGTGCGGGTCAACCGTGTTGTTTTTTCCGTGTATTTTTAACGTGGATATATTACGTTTTGATAAGTACAGGCGTACCTCTGTACTTTTTAATGCAATTCCTCCGTGCTCGCGCGCTCTTTATAACGTCAATTCGGCCACGGACTTAATTCTCAGCAGCGCAGTCACTTCAATCACTGCTTTAACTTTTGATGAGTTACCGACTTAATCGTGAGGTGCGCCGAGGCGTCGCGTGCACCTTCCACTCTTTTTTTTTTCTTTTTACCCTTTCTATCTCCCTTGCTGCCGTCAAACTTCCCCGCCGTCGGACTCTCGCGGCGCGTTTGCTCAACAATCTAACGGACTGTCTGTAGCGTGCGGCACGAACGTGGACCTATAGATTTGATTTCGACATCAAACGCATGCCCCGAGGTGACTTACGGCGCAGAGGAAACTCGCCCTCTCGAAGGGGACAAAAAAATAACTGAGGGATTGCGAAGCGAGAGGAATCCGGAACGCAAACGTTTGCTCTCCGGATGATAGTCGCGGAAATTAAACGCTCCTTTTCGCATTGTATGCCGCAGGATAATCGACTCCAGAGCGGGGACCACATATTGCAGATCGGCGAGGTCAATCTACGCGGGATGGGCAGCGAGCAGGTCGCCGCGGTTTTACGGCAATCGGGCACACACGTGCGGCTGGTTGTCGCGCGACCCGTGGAGCCGACTTCGCCGGATTATCAGGTACTCTTTTTTTGTTCCGCGCGTTCCTCCACGTTCGGCGCCGCCCTGTTTTCTTCATTCGTGCTGAAGCAACCACCCCAAGGGGATGATCGTGCGTCCGAGGTAGCTCTGACAATCGGCCGATCGCGCGGCTTCTCTTTAACCACCCATCTTTCCTTTGATGTTTATTTACGCAAAAAAGAATACGCCAATGATTGAAAATGTTAATGTTTAAGCCGCGCAATTCGTTCGCTGGCAGGGCGCGCACCGCACGAAGAGAACTATGGATATCACGAGAATAAATAAGAAATTACATCACTTGTTCAAATAAGGTTGCCAAATAACGAAATATTAATATAAGTCATTAAAATGTGTCAAACTCATTACTGTCTATCATTTTCAAGTCGCAGCAGAGACAACTGTATTTCTTTAAACGCTATTACTTATATCACAAAATATGCTCAAAAATGTCAAAGCGTATATATAGATGGTCAAAAGTATGGAACCTGTCCTCCTAATATCAACATGCGAATGTCAACTAGATAAACATCCGCACGAACTTCTGGTCCAACTCGATATTTGTTCTGCAGATCACAACAGACAGACAGCAATATTTTCTTAGTCGAGGCAGCAATATCGCCGGAAAGTTTCTGGACACCATTCCGAGACACTGAAACGTATCAATGGGTGATACGACAGATGTTAAAAGTTACTCCGCTTACTTTAGAAAACTTGCAAAACGTATATGCGAAAGTATATTTTCCATTGCGACACAATACAGTAACGGATATTGATGCGTCTTAGATGTGCCAGGTGGATGGTGTCCAGAAACTTTCTGACAGTACTGTACACATGTACGTGAGGATGTACTAACTGAACATCACGTATCACAAGAACTGTGGCTGCAGCACAGATATTGCAAATGGGGTTGCAACGGCAACTCTTAATGCCGTATCTATTTCACTTGAAGTCATACGAATGTTCTCACTAACCGTAGGATGCGGCAACCATAGAGCAGTTTTCCCCGTGAGGGAGTAATTAAACTCCGAGCGAAGCTACACTCGAATTTATTTTCATGCGGTTTCGTTAATTTATTTAACGATCGTGCCGTGCGTTCCCGTCGCTGCTTGCAAAATTCATCGAGTTCTACGTGTGCGCGCTCTCTCTCTCTCTCTCTCTCTCTCTCTCTCTCTCTCTCTCTCTCTCTCTCCTGTTGCCGCGGAAGGACGCGCGCGCAACTACACGTTTCCGCTTCCGCGGGATTTAAACAAGACGGTCCTCTTTAAGAAACGAAAACAGCTTGTGTTCTTCTTTTCTCCGTGCAATTCTTTCCTCGGGACCGTCCGAAGGCAGGCAGGCAGACAGGAAGAAGGAAGGATGGAAGGGGCGAACGAGCGCGCGGATAACGTTTTAAAACTCGGTCCATTTGTCAGCCGGGCGCAAATTAGAAGCGAGAAACGCTTCCGCGCTCGTATGCCGGCTCGTCGTCCTGCACAAGGCTACATATTTAAGTAGACGAGCGTTAGGTGCGCGATGCGATCCATTAAATTCCAACGCGGGGGTTTAAGATGTCGGCCGTGCCTGGAGATTGATGGGGTACCGCACGGCTCGCGTACGTCATTGTCAAGGCGCCTTATTGACTGTCGGTACTGGCGCGATTCGCCCGGTGTTCACGTGTGTAATTGTGTTAAATTGCGAGCCATTACGGCGATACGGATGCGAGTGCAACTCGATCGATATCGCGCAACTCGGGCAGCACGACTCCAGACGACGACGACGACGACTCGTACGAAGACTCGCGTTCTCTTGCTCCCTTCGCGAGGCTGGCGGAGACTAACGACTGGGTCGAAGACGTCGCGGGGGAGGGACCAGAGGGAGGAGAGAACGGGAGGTCGAGAGCGAGGAAAAATATGTCGGGTTTTCGGGAGCGTCCCACGACCAGCTGTGTAATTCGGAGATTATGAATAATGCACGGGGATATTTGCCGCACGTTCCATTATTTTCAGTGGCAAAATACGCGCGCGGCCGTCCCGCGCGAGTAACGCACGCGCATGACGTTGTGTCGGACGGACAAGAGTCCGGAATTTCTCATGCTCTCACGTGGAATTGCGGGAAATAGAAATTGCCCGGGCCGCACCGCCCGCGCGGAATTAAACTCGAAATTCGGACGATAGAGGAAACCGCCGCTCGAGTTTATCTTTCGTTATAAATTAGCTGTTTACGGTGTGTGTGTGTGTGTGTGCGCGCGAGAGATAGGCACGGAGAATGCCGAAGAGTACGGAATGAGATCCGCGAGCTTTAATTTTAGCAACAGCGGGCATAATTAACCTTCGGAACATGCCTGGTCTCCGCGGGAAAGCGGCCATATTTTCGCGGGAACAAAGTATCTCCGTTCACACTCTCCGCCGACTGCTCTTCGGTGAGGCGCGCGTTCGCCCGGCAAATAGACGGGACGAACGAGAGGAGAGGAACGAGAGAATAAAAAAAGAAAACAAGAATAAATGAAAAAAGAATAGAAAGAAAAAGATAACGCCGAAGCGCCCTCGACACTCCCGCAATGCTGCGCGAGGGAAAAAGCGCACACGTCCTCGGCTTTTCGCTCCCGGGCTTTCAATTTCTATCGCCTGATCGATATTTATATCCCGCGCTCCGCGTATAATTCGACCACCGTACTCCGCGCGAATATTAAACAGCGCGCGACCGGTACTGTCACCAAGCTACGATGACAAACGCCTTTCGCCGAACAATTTTCTCTTCTTTCTCTCTCTTTCTCTCCTTGTCTTTGCTTATCTCTCCCTATCTCACTTTTTCTCACTTTCTTTCTCTCTCTCTCTCTCTCTCTGTCTGTCTCTGTTTCTCTCCTTCTCCCCCGTCTCTTTTTTTTTTTGAAAAGCTTGTAACAAACTGTCCCCGTTGCTTGTTGACTTGTAAATATCACTTGTTGAGGTCTGATAAAATTCCCTCGAGGCCCCGGTCGCGCGTCGCTGCGAAACGAGGTGTGATAAAGCTCGCACCGGCGCGACATGGTGCGTCTGTGAAAGTTAAAAAACGGAGGCAAAATGGCGCATCCGAATAAAATTTGTCGGTCTTCAATTCGCTGAAAGATATAGACGACGGCAAGTGCAGGAACGTTTGTTGAAAAGCGGCAAACGGCGAAGATTTTTAGGTCTGACGCTACACCCCCGAGGTTAGGCGTTTTTAACTTTGACCGGACGTGAGCTTTTTTTTCATTTCCATCTGCTGTAAAAAGCTCTTTCTCCGTAAACCGATACCGCCGCCACACGGTATTGCATTGTGCCGCAATCCGTTCGCACGTGGGATTAACACGCGCAACGATCGTTGTTATTCCGTGCGCGGTCCCGCCGCACCGCCCCCGTAATCCTCGTGAATTCTGCGAGGAAAGAGCCGAAGAGCGCTAGTTAACGTTCAACATTCACCCGGAGCTTTGTCGAAACTCCTCCGCGTATCTCGGGCTCTCGTTTACGGGACACACACCGGCGACCGTTCGATCCCGACGTCGGAAAGAGAGAAAGACAGGCGCGTCTAGTTTCTATAAATCCAAGCGCGACGCGACCGAACGACGAGGGGACGCGCGTAAAATTTGCCCGTTGTGCTTCCAGGCTCTCGGGAGTCACGCTCCGATCGTCCCTACGAAAATCCTCGGGGATCCGGACGAGCTGGACAGGCATCTGGTGCACAGCGTCTCGGACAGTTACAACGCGCGACACGCGCAGGGTGACTCGAGCTACGACGGATACATGTATTCGCAGGAATCCGACATTGAAATGCACGTGAGTGTGTATGTGTGTGTATACACCAACGGCCCAAGAACCACGGCGATTGTCGCATTTCTCCTCCGTCGCGTGGCGACGCGAACCCACCCTCTCTTCCTCTTCCCTTTGTTCCTTTTCCCGCCCCTACCTGCCTCCCGTTGAGATGAGAGGAGACGCGACGGGGAGAGAAGAGATGAGTAGGGAAGAGAAGAGACGAGAAATCGTTTCTTCCTGTCGCGGCGTACCAGCGTGACATGGGAAAATTTTTCTGCCTCAGGCAAGACCCGGTCTCATCATGGACGTGGTACGCAACCCAATGCCAATTGGAGCGATGCCAGTTATACCGGCGGTGCCACTTCCGGTGCAGCTGCAGGATCTACCGATGCTCACCATGGAGCCCCTTGATATTAATTCACTGCCAGAAATGGAGCGCTTCACGGTCGAACTTACGAAGGACATCTACGGCCTCGGGATCACGATCGCCGGATACGTCTGTGAGAAAGGTAACGTTAGCCCGATAGCGTGACGGTATCGAAAGCTACCTCCATGAGAGAGATACTCTCTCGACGTCTTTTCGAGAGAGAACGTGACCGGGCTATCTGCACGAAGAAGTCGCGGTTGATAGAGTCGCGCGAATCGATTGGTCGGCTGCTGATGAAAACTTGGGCCTTTCGTAGAGGAACTCTCCGGGATCTTCGTTAAGAGCATCAGCGAGGGCAGCGCGGCCGATCTCAGCAATAAGATCCAGATAAACGATCGAATAGTGGAGGTGGACGGACACTCCCTGCAGGGCTACACTAATCACGAGGCCGTGGAGGTGTTGAGGCGTACGGGACAGACGGTAGCCCTCTGCTTGGAGCGATATCTACGTGGACCAAAGTTCGAGCAGCTTCAACAAGCGATCGCCGCAAGCGAATTGAGATTACCTCAGCCGAGTTCCCCGTCTATAACGAGCCTACCTAGCTTTCCCATGAGCGCGGTGAGTCCTACCTTTTGTTTAGCAGTCCAAAGTAGTTCAAAGCGAGTTACCTCTCCCTCTCTCAATTATTAATCAAATATTATCTCATCCATCGCACTCGCCATCGATCGCTCTCCACATTTTCGCTCGCTTCCTGCATCTTAACGTTTCCCCACCACCATCTCTGCACCATCTCTGCCTGCCCGGCGTATCGCAAATGGCCATGAGAGATTCTGGCTACCTATGTTACCATACTGCGTATTATATGGACGTTGTTAAATCTATTTTCTACGTGCTCTCCGCAGGATGGAGAAACTACCACCGAGATCGAGCCAGAGGGTGAGTCCCACACCACCGTGGACAGCGCGGTTCTGCAGGAAGGTGAGCGCATAAGAACGTCGGACGAGCAGGACGACGCGACCAACGTAGAAGCGCTGTTGAGCGATCCCTCGAGTGAACTCACGCCTCAGATTCGCGCGGCGATCAAGTCCAAGTGGCAGAAGATCATCGGGCCTGACACCGAGATAGTAGTAAGTGCCTTCGTGATGCAATTTCATCTGGAGAAGCCATATTATATGAGAGAACGTTTCTTTCACGTATCTTTCCTTTCATTTCGCTCGATCAGGTCGCTCAACTGAAAAAGTTCGCCGAAGGGAGCGGTCTTGGAATTAGCTTGGAGGGAACGGTCGACGTGGAGAACGGCCAGGAAGTCAGGCCTCATCACTACATTCGTTCTATTCTGCCGGAGGGCCCCGTCGGACAGAACGGCACGCTGCGCTCTGGGGACGAGCTGCTAGAGGTTATCGAATTTCCGTGTCTCTTTTTAGCGAAGTCTCTATCCAGCGTTTTCCTTTCAAAGCGCTCGACTTCTCCTCTTAATACTACCACTACCATCACTCCTCTATCACTTTTGAACAATCTGTAAAACCGATATCGTGCTTTTGTAGGTGAACGGCTACCGCTTATTGGGCATCAATCACATGGAAGTGGTTAGCGTGCTGAAAGAGTTGCCTATACACGTTCGCATGGTCTGCGGAAGAAACATCGCCTCGCAGGACCCGCTTTGTCCCATCGACACCGCTCAGCATCAGGCCGCCTTCCAGACTAGAGTGAGTAGAGCGATTGCGTCAGCGCCCGCTGTCACACACAGTCGCCCAAGTCGCGCGCCACTTCAAGGTACACCCCGCGAAAACCTGTGTTCTCCCGTAGAGCATCCTCGGCGGGTCACTGCAGAACTTGTTGCCCACGATGGATCGGCTCGTAAAAGCAAAGTCGGACGGTTCCTTGGCTTCTACGACGACCACGGCCACGGTGACCGACGCGAGTCTAAACAAAATGAAGTCGCGTTCGTTGGAACCGCTGACCGGTCTGGCGATGTGGAGTTCTGAGCCGCAAATTATCGAATTGGTTAAAGGAGAGAGGGGCCTTGGGTTCTCCATTTTGGATTATCAGGTGCGAACGTGAAGCCTCTTTTTTTTGCCGTACGCGAATCCTCGCGAGTAAGACGATAAAACAACGAGAAGCTATAATAACCATCCGATCTGCTTCTTCTTTTTTTTTTTCCGTCCGACACGCTTTTAGGATCCAATGAACCCCAACGAAACTGTGATAGTAATACGGTCGCTCGTGCCCGGCGGCGTGGCGCAGGTCGACGGGCAGTTAATACCGGGTGATCGGCTTCTGTTTGTGAACGACATCGCATTAGAGAACGCAACACTGGACCAGGCCGTGCAGGCCCTCAAAGGTGCCCCGAAGGGGACCGTACGCATCGGCGTGGCCAAGCCGCTGCCAATACCAGACAGTATTGTCCAGGTGAGCGATCAGGACGACCGGACCGAGGCTGCGAGAGATAGAGACACCGAGGCAACCGCTTTCTCGATCGTGGATAGCCACAAACAGAGGCGGGAGTATTTCCGCGAGCGTAAGGTCAACGTGACCGAGCCGCCTCATCACATGGATCTGATCGAGGGCCTGAAACATCAGCACAACCTCGTCAAATCCGAGAGTTTTTAAGGTCGCTTTTAATCGGAGAGTTGAGCTCAAGGCTCTTGCCTCTGCTAAATTCCACTGCGGTTCGCGTGTCTTCGAGACGGTTCGTGTACGTATAGGTTCAATTCAATGATGTGGAATGGAATGATTCGGCTAATCACATTGAATCGTCGTGCGTTAGGGAGATGGACGGTATAAGAAAAAAAGGATTGACGTCCGAATAATTTAATAGAGTTTACAAATCTATCGTTAAGAGAAAAAAAGAAATTCATATTATTCGAAGGGAAACTCTACATTTGAGTCTCTTGACTGAGTGATCAATTATTTTTTCTACCGCAAGCTTCTGTTTTTAACGAAAAATTAAGTTCGTAAGTCAGATAGACTTTTTATTTTCCAACATAATTGGAGTGACAAGATGATTGCAACACATTTCTGTATGTTTTGTGACTGTTAAAAAAATAAGATTTTTATTTGTTCTGAAATTGATGAAATTTGAGGGTGTTGCAACTCTTTTGCTACCAACTATATGTGTCAATGGCGGATCAAAGGATCTTTTGTTTTCATGTAGAACGACTCAACAGTAGAACAGAGCACTATTTCATTTTCGAATAGTACAACACGATGATAAATTGGATAGCACTCAATAGCACGATAAAACAACGAATCGGAAAAACGGGCAAAAGTTTTTTTGGAACTTTTGTTTCCTTTACAGGAGGATTTGGAAAACCATTCGAAGAAAGTATGCATCAATCAAATTTAAAAATATCGATAAAGATAATCATTCTTTTAAAAAACAACGCGGGAGAGAAAACTTTGGTGGACGTCAATTCATCAGTCGTGTATCAGGCATCATATAACCCTGAATACTTATTTCGTAGAATTTCCTACAATTTTCATCTTTACATCTATGTACAAACGCAGTGTGTAAGGTTGAAAAAAATGCAGGAAATTTTCATAAATTTCATAAATATTAAGGTTTCTGTGATGTTTGTTTTATGTACACACGCACAGAGATCGGCATACATGTCTTAACATACGATTACTACGATTTTCACTCGCGCACACATGTGTGTATATGGTTGAAAATCGTATAGTACGCCTAATAATATAAGTGTTTAAGGCTATTACGCCAGAGTCTCTGTGTATCGCCCATCTCCACTGTGCGCATATAACGGAACAAATTTCTCGCTGGAGAAATAGACTGAGACTGAGGTTTATTCGTTAAATAGAACGTAAAGTGCGCACAAGACCGAATGTGTGTTTCCTAACGGGATTCCGTCCATGAAAGTGAAGTAACCGTCCTTACATTTCATATACATATTAAACGACGTCGCATTCGAACGTGTAGCGATCGACGAGCATGGGACACATTAGTGTCACATTTTCGCGAAATCGGGAATCTATGAAAGTAATCATTATCCGTGTATGTGTGTGTGTATGTTTTCTTTTCTTATTTTGCACTCGCGCGCGTACAATGTTCGTCGCGAAATTGGCAGAGTGAACGTCGACAAGGAGACAATGTGCGCGTGAATAACGTTGAGGGATATTCTTTGATACTTGCAACGTTCGCGCGACTGCTTGACAGGACACTAAAGTGTAAATTTAGCGTCTTTAAATAACGAGTCGTGTTGAGATTTCTTATAGTGATTCGCAGAGAGTTTACCATTAGGCCTGCATGACGTAGCACGTCTTTACGTTAAGTCCATCGTCCATCTCGTAATTTAGAGTACAAGTGTGTGTGTGTATATATATAAATATATACATATATAAATACAGATAAATATATACATATATTTTATATGGCAGGTTGCGTTAGATACTTGTCTTAGATACTTACTGTAAATGATACTCGCAACGACTGACTTTTCCTTACGTGAATTTCATTGTGACAATTTTGCGAGGAGCCGCGTATATTCAACGCCAAATACGTTGTCTAGTTCATTTCGAATGCGAACGTTGTCGAGGCTCGCCGATAGCGAAGTCGACTCTCGCGGAGATCGAGCCGAAGGCAACGTCGCACATCGACATTTACGTAACTCACTGCAGCGCGCACCAAGACGCGTTTAAATGTGCTTTGCATCCCGAACTCTGTGTTGATCTCTGTGTGTCTTGAGTTGATCACGTTGTGTTGTGTTTCCTCCCCGTCATTGTCATCGTGTTTGAGTTTTTGTCTCACGATTATACGGCACACACAATTCGCGGAGGGCGCGTTCGGGCGATCGCGACTCGTTTGCCGTCGTTTCAAGAGATCATCGGTACATGAATATATTTTAATGCATATACACATATATGTATACACACACGTCGATACCGGCTGAGGTGATATCTAGCCGACATCGAATTATTATCCCATTTGTGTTGACGATCTGGCATCTGCACACCGCTCGGAGAAGTTTCGCGAGTGGTTGGGCAACTCTCGTTCGCATGCACGAACATGAAAACGGATGCGACGGCGCATCATCCACTTGCGGAGGAGGGCGAAGCTCGTGGATCGCCAAAGCTCGTAACCCGGGAGAAATTGTGCGTCTCCCGATGTCGTCGGGTCCATCAACGTCTCGGGCCCGACGAGCGGCGGAAGATGTCAGAGTTTTATGTGTCAAATAAAATTACACGATATGCTGCTGCACGCACACCGATAAACAGGGTGCCGTACACGTGTTCTTTTATTTCGTTTATCACTCGCCCGCTTGTCGCCAGTCCGTCTTTCCGCCCTCTTCTCCCGTCCATCCCGTGTGTGTGCTCTCGTGCTGGTCTATCCTTTCCCCACGTTGTGTTGGTCATCTGTGCTTATTTGCGTCATGATTTAATCGTTCGCTCCTTCGTTTCTCTTTTCTTCTTTTTTATTTTTTTTTACTACACCACGCGCGCGATACTTGATTTTGCTGATAACTTAACGGCGACGTCTGTGTACATATGTATCTTCTTTTTTGTCTTATTTTTCTTCTTTCCGCGTCGTGCCCGTACCGTTGCAACCGGAACATCCATATGACGGTCGATAAAAACGACGGAGCCCGATATTTACGATCGCGCGGGCCGCCTTCGGCGATATTCCAAGGCGCGCTCAGGCGTTTGAATGATTTATGCGATACTTTCGGACGCGAGATATACCAGTCGACCGACGAATTTTGGATGAGCCAGCCTCCCGCCCTCGCTCGTGCCTTGTGATTCTCTGCGGCGGTTTGCCGATCACAAGCGCGTCCTTGTGCGGGATGCGGCCCACGTCGCGGGATTAAGCGAGCTTTATCGCGAAGTTTTAAGCACTCGCCTCTCGTACGGAGAAAATAAAGCCATGGAGGGATTCGAGTCTGAAGACCCTCTCGCGCGTGATTCGTTCGCCGAATTGCGGGGCAGGACACGAACCGCGCCATTAAAGTGATAATGATTGCGATTTCTGTAAGTTGCAATTATGGAGATTTGTTTTGAATCATGGGGTTTAGACTTGTGAAGCTTAATTGCGATTCTGATAATAAAAAAATCATATCTTTTGCCAATAATTACACTGAGAGCAAAATATCTAAAGAATAAAAAATGTATTTAAGTGGATACTAATAACATATTTACTTAAATCTAAATCCTTTTATATAAATGGAGTAAACAATTGCTTTCAAGAAAAGCTTCAAGAAATATTTGATATTGTAATATATAAGTAAATATACTAATTAATTCATCGAGTATATTTTTATCTCTTAAAAAAATTTTTCCCTCAGTGTAAAGGTACATGCCAATAATTGAATGTGTTTACACTATATTTTTCTGCTGCATACATGTTTGATATTTTCGCGAAGCATCATTCGATGTTTGTGATAAGAGTCGTAAAAAGTACTTTATGTTCGAGCAATCTTTTATCGTCTTTGTAATCGACAATTTTCTTATGATATTACAATCGTTATTACGTGCAAAGTTACGTTCCCATCTCGTTTTGGCTACTATAATCGGTAGTTCTACGCCCTGTTCCTATAAGAAAATTTGGTCACGATGCTCGCTGAATGAGTTTTAGATGCGTTTCGTAATTTGGTTTCTCGCGGCGGTCAGTCGGGAGAAAAAGGAAGAACGGGAGAAGGCAGAGAAAAAAGTCGGACATTCGGTGAACGTGAGAAGTGTGCAAATATCTCTGGTTTCGGCGCTGCATCGCCGGCGTCGGAAAAAGAAATGGAGAACAATGTATAGTACGGTGAACGAAAGAAAGAAAGAAACGAGAGGGAGAGGAAAAGAGATTTTTGTTAATAGCGCTCGGTGTTTACCGCGGATGGGTTTATATTGCCGACAAACCATCGACTAAGTAAGTACAGAACAAAACGATTGTAATAGTGAATGAAAGTTGCCTGGTAGAGTAGCTGAACAAAACAACTTTATTGCATTCGACTGACTTCTCTCACATTACTTCCAAATTCTTTCAAACTCACGAAACACACACGACCGTACTAGCGATCTTTGTTTAGCAAGTTGCATTCGTCTTTTGAGGAGTTATGTTTCTTTGCGTATGTTATACATTTGCCATTTGTCTCTTTGCAGTCGGGCGAGTATGAGTGCGAGAGCAAAAGAAAGAAAGAGAGCGGACGAAATTGTGTGAAAGAGAATTGAAAAGCCAGCTGTTTTTCAAAAACTGCTGGAACGATATGAGACTGACATGAACGTGATATGCGTGAGGGTGCGAATGTGTGAGAACTAGAAAGAGGGAGCAAGAGAGAGGGAGAGAGTGAGTATGAAGAGTATAAAACGACAAAGGAATGAAAGGAAAGCGCGAAAGTGAGAAAGAATGGCTCAGAACCGGCGGCAAAGTAGCGGCAGAGTCAGAGAATATAAAAGAGACGAAAGAAAAGAGG